GGACATGGATTTTTATATGTATTTGGTGTTGTACTTATTATTTTGAAAATAATTTTAAACTCTTAGATTTTATTCTCAATTGAAAAATAGTTATGAAGATTTTATGTGAACCCTTTTTACCAACGTTGAAAAATTTATTCGTTAGTTTTATTTACATTATTATAATATATGTGTTGGGGTAGTAAGGGTGTCACATATATAAAAAGATGTAAAATAAAGTCAAAAACATATTTGTGTTTCACAAGTATTAATTCAACTTTTTTGGAAAAAAAATATATCATTTTTTCCTCAAATTTGTTAAGAAACTTTTGAAAAAAGAAATGTAAGGCTATAAGTGTTGCAAGATAGCTAATAAAAATATTGACGCTTAATAATTATTGGAATATATTTTGTAACATAAAACTAGTAAAATAATGTTTAGAAGTTAGTGAAGGAAAATTTTAAAAAAATGTTTCAACATAAAATATCACATTACTTCTACATAATTGAAAAAAATAATTTGTTACTTTATAATATGTATAACACTATGTATTTTAATGCTTTTATTGCATGATGGTGTAATATATGTTGCAGTATGATGTCATGTTTGATAATGTTGCCAAGACACTATCTAAAGTAAACTAGATTTTCCCTAAAAATTTGTAATATAGGGAACAACCCAGGTCATTCTTCATGAAGATACAAGTGTAATGACCCGCCTTAGGTCACCACATCAACAACCAACCGAACAACTCAAAATAAATAATATAAAATAAAGAAAAGAGAGCAAATATCAGCTACCCTAGAGTGGAAATCGTTAAAAACATATAAATTATTTTCATCGTATAAAACGTGATTTTATAAAAGAGTTATAATCAGTAAGGTTATGCAGTCATCCAAAAAGATAATATAGTTACTACATCATAAAAACATCAAAATAGGACACCATAGGTGCTAGTCAAGCTCTAAGTCTAGCCACTTCTCAAAGCAGCAACCAAAAGACTCCTTGTCATCCCAAAGCCTCACACCTGATCTACTCCCCCACATAGTGAGATCATCACAGTCTACATCATGGAAATATAAGGGTTAGCACGTATAAAACCAACCATAATACAATATGAATGAAATATCATCAAACCAGATATTCATCATCAACATTTATCCATACCAAGGGAATGACAACATTATTACATGTCTATCTCCATGCTAATATAAACAAATCCAAAATCCAATGTATACACATCCATACCAATGCATACATAATCTATAATAATAAAGAATCCATAACCAATGTATATAATCCATACCAAATGCATACATATTTCATATCCAAACCAAATTCACACCATTGTATAATCCCATGAAGTAGCCAACATATCCAAACCAAATGTTGGCCTCAATACATCCAACCCAAGTGTTGAGTTTGTGAACATGTCACCTGCCCATGTCACACACCTAACCTCTCATGGAAAATACACAGTTGGATTACGTCATCACGTAACCTGGTGATCCCAGCCACTTCATCCATCGGTATGACTCGACCTTGCCCTCATACCGGTAGCAAATAGAATGCTTAAAGGAGTACTTCAGAATCCACCTAACATCTGAAGTGATTTATTATATAATCTTTGGAAAAGTTCCATATTGGAATCCTCACCATGGGACTCCCAAATTCCATATTTTTTCCAAAGACTATACCATGATCTCACCAAGAGATCTCCCAATCCATACCATAACCTTACCCCTCTAAGTCCTATTAGCTTTCCAAACCAAACACACATAAACATACTCTATAATTACATGCATCTTTCCCATAACCATGCCACATTCAATACCAAATATATAACATCAAAAGATATATGATTCAACATTTAAAAGTTTCATAAAAACTCAATTATAAAAGGTTTTCCTCAAAGAAACCACTCGCCCAGTGTAGTAGTATTTGCGCTCAGTGCATCCAAAACTGGGAGCATATCAGGCTTTGCCCGCTCAGCGTGTCACCACATGTGCTCAACGTATAGACTCGTGTGCTCAGCGTGCTCTGAATAGAGAGCCACTGGAAGCTGCCCACTCAGCGCGTAGACCTGTGTGCTCAGCCCATGGTTAAATGTGCTCAGTGCACTCTGGATAGAAAACTTTGTTCTTTAGTGTGCTCAGTGTGTCGTCGCATGCGCTTAGCGCGCATGCATCAGACAATGTGTCAAAAGTTCAAAAACTTTGATTTTCACCCTCAAATTCATCCCAACATGAATCCCAAACCAAATTACACGATTCCGAACATATAGTATAAACACCATTCAAAAACAACATATTAAGCGATAAAATTAAGTATTAACCATTAATCCATGAAAAATATGAAGAAACCCAACCAAACCCTCTCCACTCAATCAAACCTTAATCATGCATAAAACATGGAATCAATGTGATATTTCAAATTCATACATACTAGACTAAATCTTATAAGTACTACCCTTACCTTAGAAACTTCAGAAATGCAAGGTTTGAACTAGATCCTCAAATCCCAACGCAAACTTCAATCTCACTTTCCAAGCTTTTAGAGGCTAAATCTCTTGAAATTCCAGTTGTGAAGATTAATCCCGGTCGGCTTGATAAACTTCCCAAATATATTCCCAGCTTCCCTCTGGACCAAAGCTTCTCTCTCTACTTCCTCTCTCTAGAAATTGTTTCTTTCTGAAAATGAAATCCTCTGGTCCTAAGCCCTTATATATAGCCATTTTCCAAAATTTTCAAATTTTACCCTTAGCACCTATTCACCTTAAATGTCCTACTCCTTCAAGTATTTCAACTCCCTAAGCTCTAAAACAACTTCAAATTCACTTAGAAAGACCAGAATTATCTTATGTTCCCATCCTTCAATCTCATATCATTCCTGTTCCTTTTTATGCAATACTCACAACTCACCACCATATGAAATGAAACATGTATCAACATACAAACAAACATCACCTTCAGATACATATGCTTGGAATAATGAGTTGAATACCATAATATTTCACCTAACTAAGATGAGAAGGAAGGTGATCAGTCTTCTTCCTTCTTCAATATAATGGCGTATAATGCATCATTCACCACATTCATGCATACACATGCCTACATAAACACCTCAAAACAACGATATCTCGTTTCATACTATAAAATCACTTCTATGTCCAAACAAAAAATCAAAACCACATAAATATACAACATGCACAAAGGTAAGTACATTTCAAATCCACATATTCACAATCCAATCCAAATCCATATAAACAACATATACATACATACATACCTACATATATATATATATAAAGTGTATATACCAAATAGCCTGATATTTCCATGACGTTACAATAAGCACATTAAATTTGTATTTTATCACACAATTAGGAAGAGGATTTTTAATATTTGAACAATATTCAATCAACAAACAAAGAATTAGGAATAAAAAATTTAATTAGAGAAGCATCGATTCAAGGTTTCAATCTGTATGGTAAAATTTTCATAGTTCAATAATAAATCTAAATTCTTAATCAATCTAATTCAACATGAACTTAATAAAAAAAACGTAGTTCTAAATCTAAATCTATGAAATCTATCAAAACATGAAATGCAATCGCCATCTCACAATTTTAATAAAAATCAAGAATAGTGAACAATTGAATTAGGCAATTTAGGTTATTTTAGGTTGAAATCTAAATCTAAATTTAGATCTAAAATAAATCTTCAATCTCTATTCTATATCCAAAACAAAATTCACAATCATGAAAAAGCAAAAGAAAAACCTAAAACAAAGAAAAAAAAGAAATAGAGAATTTGTTCGGTGAAAGAATAGGGAACTTGAATTTTACCGTAGTTCTTGAAACCTAGAATCGATTAATGAACTAGCCATGCATCATAACCATGTTTCAGCAATCCAATACATGTAACCAAGAGAGAAAATTTGAGGAAAAATAGAGAATTTAGATAAACTTGTAGAGGAAATAACTCTAAAATCTAGAAAATGAGGTGTATTATATGAAATGTACATGTGTTACACTTATTTATAGACTAAAATAATGGGCCTAATATGAATAATTAAAGGAATAATCCACTAAATCAACTAATCACATTACTAAACAAATCCTAACATTACAATCTGAAAAAAAAAATTATGCAAGACCGTAACTTTGCAACATAATTTTGGGTCATTTAACATCTGAATTGGCCTTTTCTTTAAAATGAAGTTGTAGAACTCTCTCTTATCTTTTCAGGGACACTAAGAATGTATAAATCTGATGTTAGAAGCTCTAGAGATAGGCTGCATAAGAAATAATATCAAAACAGGAAAAAAATTACGGAAACTAACTAGAATTTACAATTAAGACCAAAATAACTCACTAGAAGAAATCACAGCTAATATATCACAATATGATACTAATAAAAGTCAAATAAACCAAAAATAATATATAGAAAGATATACAAAAAATTGGCCTATCATTGTGTTAATAGTCTAAGGTCCCTTCAAGTAGGAGACTCTACATCATAATTTGTGGTAGTGGGGGCCTACATTTGTGCAACACGTTGCAATATTAATACAATGTTTATGTTTCTTTTAATATATATATATATATATATATATATATATATATATATATATATTTTATTGTTGTCTATGTATATATATATATATATTGTATGATGTCCAATAAAGGTTTTGCATGGAAAATCTATGGTATGACTTATTTGTTGTGTTGTTAGATGCTTTATCGGTGTATGACATGCGAGTCGTTACAATAACTCTTGAACTTGGTTGGTCAATCAAATCAGGTGGTCAAGCAGTTTGTGATAGGTCAATACACGTCAAAATGTGAATATAGTATTCCAAATCATGAGCATATGTAATACAATACAAATTAAAGAAAAATAATGAGATGAATAGCTAAAACCATCATAAGTGTGAAAAGTTGTCCCACATCGAAAGCAAATGGGAACTTTAGATAGTGAATGATTCATAAATAAAATATGGTCAGCAATATTTAAAGATACTTACCTAGATGGGGTCAATGGATGATCATTATGATCCATGCTAGATTTATGACCTCCATTGCACTTGGGAGGGGTGTTAGTCTAGGGTCTTCTTAGGTAGGAGAGTCTACATCATAATTTGTGGTAGTAGGGACCTACGTTCACACAACCCTTTTCAATATTAATTTAATGTCTATGTATTTTTTAAAATATATATTACATGATGTCCAAGCTAGGTTTTGCACGGAAAACCTATGGTAAGCAAGAACAAAGAAAAAGAGAAGTCACTCAAGTTCAACAAGCTACACTCTTTATTGCTTTATCCTTTTAATTTTTTAGAGAAATCTACTTTGTATTTGTAATCTTGATCTGTAATAGAAAAAAAAAAGTGAGATATCTTCCTTGGTGGAAGCTCCATAGTTGGAGATATACTTTTTTGCAAAACACAAGGACGTCTATGTTTTGTAAAAATTTTCTAGCTAATAATGAGTATAGTGGTATAGGAAGGAAAATAAAAATCACAATAGGTGTTGTGTTTAGTCTCATAGCAGGTGGTTGTGAGGTTATCCTTCTTAATAGGTGGCTAAGTAAAGCTTCTCAATAAGTGGTTGAGTGTTGCTACTAATAAAAAGGGGAGGACGTCACCTTATCTTCGAGGAAGCGCACCCGACTTCGGGACAAAGAGGCCAACCCCTGCAGCTCGCCCACCTGAGAAGCATAGTTCTCGTTCGAGCGTAGAGCAATCTCTAGGGACTTCTGCACCCTCGCAAGATCCCCCCTCGCGGCTCGCAATTCGACACTTAGGCCCTTGTTCTCCTCCTTCAGGACCTTATTCTCCCCCTTTAGGACCTTGTTCTCGTCCCTTAGGGGTTGAACTCGCCCCCTCAGTCTGGCTAAATCCTCCTACAGTTTGGACCACTGAGGCTTCCAGTGGCCCACAATGGCCATAGCCCTCTGTAGAAGGACCTGGGCAGCGTCAAAACTATCCTCGGGCCCAGCTTCATCTATCAGCCCCTAGTCCTCGGAGCTCAGCGAGCCTTGAGGGAAGAACTTCTCGGAAGTCACCCCCGCGCTCCACAACGAGTCCATGTCAGCCGAGGTGCTCACATGGTCCAACCGCACCTTTGAAAAGCCCTTCCCGAAACAGTGGGCTATGTATCGGCTCCGGGAAGCCCTCTACGACGAGCCAGACGGTGGCGCCGAAGCTGCAGGGG